AGGTATGACTGACGGAAAGGTCTGTCACCGCCCCGAGCTGCATGCTGCAGCGAAGTGTACCTCGCAGAGACCCCTGCTAGGTCCCCGCCCTCTCCTCTCACTCCCATTCATCTTATCCCCTGTGGGCGGGACTCGTCGCCATCTTTCAAGGCGGAAGTCGCATTAGTTACGGTCGAGTTGTTGCTGAGATCCCTGACTTTTTTTTTTCGTCATTTTAAAAAAAGATTTTACTGCCCTTTTTTTTGTTTGCTTTTCGCTCAAAATGGTTATTTCATGTTGGGTGAAAAGCTGTACCAACCGTGCAAACGGTTTGACTAAGCGCAGTTTTCACAGTATACCCAAAATTCGAAAGCATGAAGGACCACTAACTGAGGAGCTGAGCGCTGAACGTCGGCGAGTCTGGCTTGGCAACATCCAGCGCAAGGTTCAGCCGTCGAATGCATCAAGAATCTGTTCGGACCACTTTTATTCCGGTAAACAAAGACATATCTAACAGTCATTTTGTCGATTTGCGTCATCATTAAACTGATGTGTGTTGAAACTGCTCTGTCCATGATACGTCTCTGCTGTGGTTAGCTTAGCGACACTATGCTAAACCTGAAAGCACTCTCTAAGCCTACATCTAGATCCTACAGACAGWATATTTTAATAGTTTGCATCAGTTGCTTTGACAAGCTTCATAATCTGGTTAGAAATGTCCTAGTCTCTTATGGTGATGATGCATTATTTGAGTCATGATGGCTCAATAATCATAGCCACAAGTTGCAGCTAGGCTGCTTTTGTTATGAGGTCTAGCTGTGAGGCCCAAAAATGCCAGCAGACAAACATTACCAGTGATAGAACCACAGAGCTGCCAAAGCATACATAAAACTCATTATGGTAAATATACAAAGTAACAAAAGGAACAGAAAAATAGCACCCATAAAAACACAGGACTCCATATTGTAGGGATGTGGATAAATTTTAATCCTACACCAATATTAAACCTGACAGCGGATTCCAAAAGAACATTTCAAACCATACAAAATATCACCAAAATCATGTGATTATCTGAAGTATGAGGGAGGTTATTGATGTTTGTTTAGGTGAAATCAGCTTATGTTTTCTTGCTGCAGTTCACAGCAGAACCAACGTGATCATTTCACCTTGCTGTTTTCTAATTTGGCTCATAACTTCCTCAGTGTTCAAGATATCGCCATGAAATTTTAGGAAAAGATTCCCATTCTGGTTTGGTAGGAAGCATCTTGTATCCTAAAAAACTAATAAAACTTAATAATAGCCAATTCAAAAGTAGCAGAAAAGGTATAAAATAGCATTACAAGGCAAACTGTAGCATCAAATAAACTTAATGTGTCTTAGAAAGTAAGGAAATTAAAACAAGTTAAAAACCATGTGGACATCTGTTTTGTAAACAAAGCTCATCAACCAATGACGGCGTGTTAAATGTGTCATGTGATGAAAACGAGCATCAAAACACTTTGCAACAAGCACTATTCCGGATTTAAAAAAACATACTTCGACGTTTCAAATCATGATCAAATTTGGAAGAAGGGCAGATAAAATAATGTTCTTCATGGCAACTTAACTCTTTAAGAGGTCACTAGAAAAACTCGGGTGATTTACTTTGATCCTCCTTTCAAAAAATTGTCTCTTCAAAACGCATCAACAAAAATTAAAAACTCGAAGACGAGGCTGTAGCTGACTACCTGACGGCAGCCCGATTTGTTGAAATTCGTAGAAATAACGAAGCAGGAGGAAATTACAAGCAAACGCACCGAGCAGCCTTGCAAAATCTGGTCACAGCAGTTTGGGAAGAAAATGGCAGCAGCTGCTGACGAAATGTCAACATCTCCACATATTGGTTATAACATGTTCAAAGTAATCTTCAGTAATAAAATAAACAAAATACATGCATAATCAGCAAGTGTACTAAGTGTAATACCAACATAATTTAAACAGCATGATTGCTAGATGCAAGTTCTATTA